ATTTACTGAAATACATTTGAGGAAAGCGATTTTATAATTTAAAACGGAAGTTCAAACGGTAATTCTTTAATAGGGCCATGATTTCCAAAAGGAAACCAACAAAAACTTTTTGGGGAAATAAAAACCCCATCATCATTTACCCTGCAAAGTCACCAGCCCTCTTCCCTAAAAACAAAAACCATTAGCACCATATTTTTGTTGATAGTCTACTGCACCATGAGCCTCTAAATGAAAGAGGTCGGCCAGTCTGCCGGCAGCTTAGCCTAGAACTTCCATATAAAATATAAAACAACAACAGCAACAATCAACTATCATAACCAAATCATTCATGGTCCTCCCCAAACCATAAAAATTAGTGAAATATGAAAACTTCCTCCTTTTGTGTGTTGATGGCTGAGTTCATACCTACTCCTCCTCCTCCACGTTCTCCAACGTTTATTTTCCATTGAAATTTTCGCATTGTTATTATTACTACTATTACTAAACGTTTACTGGCTGGCACGATAAGAACCTGGTATAGCTTTTTGTGTGCTTAATCTAAGGTTTAACAAAAAATGCAATGTGGTTCGGAAGGACAAAAAAGTTAAACACAACTTCAAAGAGCAGTTGCATAGTAAGACCAAAAACTAGGATTGGGAGAGGAAATTTCGTTCCATAATTGGAAGCAATATGGAAGCGAAAAGTCTTACCTATAAATAGATACCAGATTTATAGATCTAGTCCAAAAAATATCGAAGTTATCGGCAAAAGTTGAGAAACGCAAAATTTGTCATTTTTTTGGTATGTTTTGCGCAATCATTTTTGGAGGTCATAACTTTGGAAGTTAGGGTCACACCTTCAAAAAGTTTTTTGTTTGTAAAAGCAGAGACCTTAAGCTTTACAATGATGCCCATTCCTTCTGAAAAACCCTAAAAAAAATCCGACAAAAATAACTTTAAATTGTAAAAAACGTAAAATTTGGTTTCTATTTTTTGCATTCCGCTTCGAAGCCCATATCTCTAGATATAATTGGGTTTTTGTCTTCAAATGTGTTTTACTTAGGGAAATAAAAGTCCTACCTTCAAATAGATACCAGATTTATAGATCTAGTCAAAGAAATATCGAATTTATGGGCAAAAGTTGAGAAACGCAAAATTTGGCCATTTTTTGGTATGTTTTGCGTAATGTGTTCTGGAGGTCATAACTTTGGAAGTTGGTACCATAGCTTCAAAGAGATTTTTGTTTGTAAAAGTAGAAACTTTTAGCTTTACAATCATGCCCATTTTACGATATGTTCCTTTTGAAAAAATCCGAAAAAAATAACTTTAAATTGTAAAAAACCTAAAATTTTTGCAATTGGTTTCTAATTTTTTGCATTCTGCTTCGAAGCCCATAACTTTGGATAGAAACGGCGTAGCTTCCAAAATTAAATTATTTTGGAATGCAGGGACCTTACACTTTACAATGATGCCCAAATAGGGATATATTCTCTCCTAAAATGTTTCTACAGAAATACTTGAAAAAATTCATAAATTTAAAATATTTTAAATTTCAAAATAATTTTGAACATCCCGTTCCGAAGCCCATAACTTTCGATATAGCTTACCTATCTTGGAAAACTAAATTGTATTTTACAGTCGAGACCTTCCACTTAACATTCATACCCTAAAACTATGTATAGTTCTGCAAAATCCCCTAAAAGTATGCATTAACATTTGGGAAATGGAAGAAATTTCTAGATTCCCCCCAAAATGTGTTCTCAGGGCATATCTTTGCCCACATTTGGATTTTCGGGGTTATATCACATGATTTGGAATGATGGACACCTCTATTAAATACTTTCGATGAATTGTAGAATTTTATGTTATAAAATAAAAAAGTTTTATGCAAAACTTTGCATGCGAAAATTTTTTTGTAATTTCTACCCACTTTTGCGTAATCCTTCCGATGGCCATAACTTTTGAAATAATTGTTATATCTTCATAAAATAAACTATTGTTTGGAAGTATGGATTTGGAACTTTTAATATCGTATACAAAATAATCCGATATCGCCTAAAAGTATGCACCAAAAATTGCAAAATGTGCCGAAATTATAATTTGGTAAAGAAAAATATTTTGTGTCGACATATCTTTGTTTATGGTTCTTAAAGTTGTCACTTGATTTTGAAAGAAGTACATCTCTATTCAATATTTGAGGTAAATTTTGGGGTTATATCTCATAAAATTTCACAGTTATCGGCAAATCTTTGCATGCGCAAAAGTGTTGAAATTTTATGAAATTTTTTTGTAATCGTTCGGAAGGCCATAACTTTGAAAGTACTTATTATATCAGCATAAAATAAATTTCTTAGGAATGTGTAAACCTTGAACTGTAACCTTCATATTGAAAATAATCCGACTTTGCCTAAAAGTATGCACCACAAATTGAAATTTGTTAATATAAATACATTTTTGCATTTTCTTTTGAAGAGGGACAAATTTCTGCTCTAAAACATTATTTTAGGCGGTTAGTTTAAATGGGAGAAATATTCTCCATTAAAATTCATTATAGGTCACCGAACATGAGAAATCGCTAGGTCTACTATTTATCATGGAAATGTACGCTCAAATGCGACCAAATTAAAAAGTATATGCTTCTTCAAACATTCTTCAAATGGACCCGATTTCTCCCGTTAGGTACCACTTTAGGGATTGGGTCTGAATGGAAAAAATATTCTCCATCGAATTTCACTATAGGTCACCGAACCAGAAATATCGATAGGTCTGCTCTACATTATAGAAAATTCGGTAAAAAAGCTATATGGCTATATGAAACATAGTTATTTTTTATAAATTTAATTTTATTTTTGAATTGTGCCCAATATTTCCTACTGGACTTCACTTTAGGGGGTTGGTCTGAATGAAAAAAACTATTCTCCATCAAATTTCGCTATGGATCACCACGGAAGAGAAATCGCTAGGTCCACTAGATATCATGGAAATGTCAGCTCAATTGTAACCAAATAAAAAAGTCATGTTTTTGTCGTTAAAATTTTGAAATAGGTCCGATTTCTTCTATTGGAGACCAATTTAGGGGGTTGGTCTGAGTGGAACAAATATTCTCTATCAAATTTCACTATAGGTCACCGAAGAAGAGGAATTTCTAGGTCTATTATATATCATGGAAATATTACCTCCCATGTGATGAATGTAGAAAAGTGCGGTTTTTTCCATACATCTTTGAAATGAGTCCGATTTCTTCTATTGGAGACCCATTTAGGGGGTAGGTCTTAATGGAAAAAATATTCTCCATTAAATTCCACTATGGGTCACCAAACAATAGAAATTTGTAGGTCCACTAAGTATCATGGAAATGTCAGCTCAATTGTGACCAAATGAAAACGTCATGTTTTTTCATTATAAATTTGAAATTGGTCCGATTTCTTCTATTGGAGACCCATTTGGGGGGTTGGTCCGAATGGAAAAAATTTTCTCCATTGAATTTCACTATGGGTCATCGAACAAAAGAAATCGCTTGGTCCACTATATATCATAGAAAAATCCGACCAAAAATGCAATATATAGAGAAAAATTTTTTTCGTTCATTTTATATTTTTTTAATGGACCCGATTTCTACACCTGGCCTTCAGTTTGGAGGGTTGGTCTGCTATTCTCCATCGAATTTCACTATGGGTTACCACAGAAGAGAAATCTCTAGGTCTACTATTTATCATGGAAATATTAACTCAAAAGTGCCTGCCTCTTAGCAATATTTTTCTATTGTTCCGCATTAAGACCTCTCTTAGCCCCCTGAAAATTATTTCGAAAGTCGGCTTTGACTTTCCACTTAAAAATGGGTCACCGGTTTCATGTGTCAAGGTTCCATCTTGCATATTTTGTTTTCTCCCCCCGTTTGTAACCTGAAACCACTGTATCGTATTTGAGGTTTAGAAAATAAGGCACACATTCACATTCAGCGTGTCATGGCAATGTTTACTTCGTCTTCACTCTCTCCCCCCATCAAAATTTTCCCATTGGAAGACCAGGAAAAAAAACCAAAAACTTTAACCGCAATGGGGAAAATTAAGTGTGAGAGTAGCGACAGAGCGAGGAGCGAACGTTTTGAATAATAAAACAAACAAACAAATGAATAGAAAGTTGAAAGTGCAAAGCGCGAGAACGGGGAGGAGGAGGGAGGAGGGGGTAGATCAACTTTTTCCAGAACTATTATAACAGCAGTAACTACAGGAAACATTTGTTATATATATGGGGTCGAAGGGGGAAAGGGAGACTAGAGACCATCTATTACAGGCAGCTTGGGGTTGTAGGTCATTGACTCGTCGGTGTTGTTCTCCCTGGACTCCAGTAAATTTTATAGCCATTTACTCTGTGGTATGGGAGGAGCTGTGCTTGCTTACCTTGCCTTGGCCATGGTAATGGTTTTCTATTTATTTAAATTCTTATTCTTCAATTTCCACTTTATCGCAATGGTGACCTTCCAATGCACCACCATCGCCACCACCCTTGAAGGTTATGGTTCGGTGTGTGGTTATTTTTTCTTAAATGCTCTTGAATTTTGGGTGATTAATGATGTTGTTGTTGTTCTGCTTATTTTATTATCACATACCTTGAACCCCCCGCACTCAGGGGAAATCATGCATGCATATTTTTGATTAATGATTTTTAATTCTTTTCGATTTTTTTCTTTCTTTGCAGATTAAAAATCTTACAAATCTAGCCGATACTTGTCCAAGTATTGGCAAAAGTGCCATTGCAACTGCCACAGCCGGTGGTAGTAATACTTGCAGCAACAGTTGCTATACAAGTCCCTCCAAGCAAAGTCTGGGCAGCGGCTGTGGTGTCGATTATCAATATCTATTATCCTCCTCACCGGGTGGTAGTGCCATAGCTGGTGGAGGTGGCGTTGGCGGTGTAAAACTACGCAAATTTTCCGATCGTTGTCTAACATCCTCACCAGGTGGTAGTGCATCGGCTGCTGCTGGTGGTTTACCCACTGAGGCTGGAGCTTCCTCCTCACATTCATATCGCATTTCAATGGCCAATCTCGAGGAAACACAAGAGTCCGAACTTGATGTCATTTTGGGAGAGCTGAGCCTCTTGGAGGCCCAAATTGCCGCTGGCGATGCCAATTTCCTACCAGCTGCCGGCGCCCCGGGGGCCATGTGCACGCCCTCCTCAACTCGAACACATTCACGCACAAATTCCACCATATCCGGAGCCACCTCGATATCGGGAGCCTCGGAGGCTGGTAGCAGCAACAGCAGCAGTACTTCACATTCATTATGTTCCTCATCGGGTGTATCGGAAAACGGTAGCCATGTCAGCAGCAGCAACACTCATCAGCATCATCATCTGATGCAACAACATCATCATCAGCATCCTTCGACAACAACAACAAATAATAATGGTCCTACAACAACACAACTAAGAGAACCACGTACTGAATCTCCGGACAATGATTCGGCATTTAGTGACACGGTATCACTGCTCTCCAGTGAATCTTCCGCTTCATCGGGTATGAGTTCGGCACTGCAGCATCATAAACGACTCAACCAACATCAACCTGTCTTACCCTTATCGGGCAATACGAAGGCGGCCAAAATCCAATTGGCCCTCCACAAACTGGAAACGGCACCCATACGCCGCCTCTTTGTCAAGGCATTTACCTCGGATGGAGCCTCGAAATCACTGCTAGTTGATGAACGTATGACATGCGGGCATGTAACACGTTTATTGGCCGATAAAAATCATGTACAAATGCAACCGAATTGGGCTTTAGTTGAGAATTTAGGCGATTTACAAATGGGTAAGTTTGGGGAGAACATGAAATTAACAAAAAGCAAAGAGATGGGGGAGAGAGAGAGGAAGAAATACTAATTTTTCATTTATTTTTAAGGTAAATTGTTCTTCCAAGGATTGAGGAGGAGCTCGAAATGTCCATGAGGTCCAAGGGAAACATTTTTAAGGAGTCCACACCATGGAGATTTTTTGGAAAATATAATTTTGTTCAAGGCCCCCAAGGCAATAATTTGTAAAACTAGGTCCCAAAAGTTCTAAACAAGGCCGAGATTTTCTAAATACAGGACAAAACAAGTTTTGTCGGATCTAGAAAAATTTTCAAATATCATACTCCGATTTGTCGCACAATATGGTTTTGTTGTACGATTTGGTTGGATGCTTAGCAAATTTTCAAACCAATTCAATTTAGTTCTCCACTTGCCCGTTCGAAGTGGTGGTGCGCTAATCAGTAAATTGTGGACTTATCAATTAATATATACAGTACTTTATTCGAATACATTTTCGTTCTAGTTATACAGTTACATTTTAGCAATGAACAGAACCTTTTATTTCGAAAACCGAACTTCGAATTCTCCAAAATAAGGAGAAATTAAATTGTTCCATTTTGGAGAGTCATTTTTCTCCGTATGTAGTAATTCTATTAATTTCTTGTGTATGGAGACCCATAGTGGAGAATATTTTTTCCTTTGGAAGCAACCCTCTCCAATAAGTTTTTTGGGCGAATTTTTAGACCAAATTGAAAAAAAGGTCTAAAAAGCGGACTTCGATTTTATAAAATAATTCCATAGGGCTATTTTAGGTGGTATGCTTTAAAGCTGCAGATTTCTTTTGTTTGGAGACCCATAGTGGAATTTAATGGAGAATATATTTCTCTTTGGCAGCAATTCCCTCCAATAAGTTTTTGGGCGAAATTTTGGCTCCAACGAAAAAATATACCCAACATTTTCAGTTTTTGAGATGCCACTATTCCAGACCCTTATTTTTGATGGTATGGTATATAGCTGCACATTTCTTTTGTTCGGTGACCCCTAGTGGAATTTGGCGGAGAGTATTTTTTCCTTTGGAGGCAATGCCCTCCAATTAGTTTTTGGGCAAAATTTAGGCCCAAATGAAAAAATACCCAAAATATCCAATTATTTAAATACCGCAATTGTATACCCCCATTTTTAATGGTATGTACTATAGCTGCACATTTCTTTAGTTCTGGGACCCATACTGAAATTCGATGGAGAATATTTTTCTCTTTGGAAGCAATCATCTCCAATACGTTTTTGGGCGAAATTTTGGCCCAAATTGAAAAAAGGTCTAAAAACATCAATTACTTGTATAACATACTTCTATAAGGCTATTTTTGTCGAATGCTGTATAGCTGCAGATTTATTTTGTTCGGTGACCTATAGAGAAATTTTATGGAGAATATTTTTCCCGTTCATAAGATTACCCTCAAATTAAATTTTGGGCAAAAATTTGGCCTAAATGAAAAAATATCCAAAATATGCATTTTTTTTAGATACCACAATTCGATACCTTTATTTTAAATGGTATGCACTATAGCGGCACATTTATTTTATTCGGTGGCCTCTAGTGGAATTTGATGGAGAATATTTTTCCCTTTGGAAACAAACCCCTCCAATTGGGTTTTGGGCGAAATTTTGGCCCAAATGGCAAAATACCCACAATTTACATTTCTTCGATACCACAATTCGATGCCTTTATTTTTAATGGTATATACTATAGCTGCACATTTCTTTTGTTCTGTGACCCATACTGAAATTCGATGGAGAATATTTTTCCCCTTGATAGCAAACCCCTCCCATTTGTTTTTGGGTTTATCAAATTTGCATACCGAAAATTTAGCTGCAAAATGTGGCAAAAACGCCTAAAAAAACCAGATTTATTTTGTTCGGTGACCTATAGAGAAATTTTATGGAGAATATTTTTCCCGTTCATAAGATTACCCTCAAATTAAATTTTGGGCAAAAATTTGGCCTAAATGAAAAAATATCCAAAATATGCATTTTTTTAGATACTACAATTCGATACCTTTATTTTAAATGGTATGCACCATCCAGTATATCAAATTTGCATACCGTTATTTTAGCAGTATGGACTATAGCTGCAGATTTCTTTTGTTCGGTGATTCCTAGTAGAATTTGATGGAGAGTATTTTTTCCTTTGGAGTCAATCCCTTCCAATTAGTTTTTGGGCAAAATTTTGGCCCAAATGAAAAAAATACCCAAAATTTTAAATTTTTTAGATACCACACCTTTCTATACCCTTAATATTTATGGTATGTTGTATAGCTACAGCTTTCTCTTGTTTGGAGACCCATAGTGAAATTTTATGGAGAACATATTTCCGCTTGATACCACTCTTCTCCATATAATTTTTAACCGAAAATTGGGCACAAGTTTAAAAAATTGTAAAAATACATTCTTTCATTGTTCAACCCCTTTTTAATACGTTATTTAAGTGATCTGTTCACTTTTATAGGGTAGCTAGATGGTTAACATGTTCCACAAAAATGTTCTTCATTGTCTTGGCAGTAATATTGCTGAATATACTCTAGTCCTAGGTTGTTCGGATTCCAAGGAAGCCATATGCAACAAATTTTCAGTTTTGGAAATTACTGATTTTGAGTGTTTTTTTTAGAAATGTGCAAAAAAGTCATTTTTAGCGATTCGCTAGAGGGTTAATCTAAATTAGAAAAAAAAAATTCATAGTGTGGGTAGTAATTTTGCTATAGAGGTCTTGGACCTAGGTCGTGTGCATTCCGAGCAAACCATACAAAACTAATTTTCACTTTTGAAAATAACTGATTTTGAGGTTTTGTTTAGAGATGGACCGAAAATACCCCTTTAGCGAGTCGCTAGAGGGTTAACATAAATTAGAAAAATTTTCTCCATTTTTTGGGGAGTCATTTTGATAAATAGGTCTTGGACCTAGGTTGTGCGGATTCCAAGAAAATCATACGAAACTATTTTTCTCTTTTGAAAATGACTGATTTTGAGACATTTTTTTTTAAAGTGGACCAATAAGACCCATTTAGTGTGTCCCTAGAGGGTTAGCATAAATTAGAAAAAGTTTCTTCATTGTGTGGTTAGTAATTTTGCTAAAGATGTGTTGGACCTAGGTTGTGCGGATTCCAAGAAAATCATACGAAACTATTTTTCTCTTTTGAAAATGACTGATTTTGAATGTTTTTTTAGTAATGGCCCAAAAAGCCCTTTTAGTGAGTCCCTAGAGGGTTAAGTTGTATTACAAAAAATTTCTTCATTGTGTGGGTAGTAATTTTGCTAAAGAGGTCTTGGACCTAGGTTGTGTGGATTCCGAACAAACCATATCAAACTATTTTTCTCTTTTGAAAATAACTGATTTTGAGTGTTTTTTTTAGAAGTGGACCAGTTAGACCCATTTAGTGAGTCCCTAGAGGGTTAAGTTGCATTACAAAAAAATTATTCAGTTAGTTTTCCTAAAGGGTTACCAGGTTGTGTAAATTAGAAACCCATACAAAGTTTCTTGAAAATAACTGAATTTTGTTTGGACCAGTTACACCCAAAAATTTTGCAAAAAAAGATTGTGTCAGTAATTTTGCAATGAAACCATAGGTTGTATGGATTCCAAGAAAACCATAGCCAACCATTTTGCTCTTTTGCAAATAATTATTTTTTCTAATTCCACTTCCTCTCTCCTTCTTTGCTTTAATTTATATTTTGTTCTTTTGAATATTTTTTTATTAATATTTTTCTTTCCCTTTCCAGAACGTCTATTTGAAGATCATGAACTATTGGTGGATAATCTAATGACCTGGAATTCAGATGCTGGCAATCGTGTACTGTTTCAACAACGTTCGGATAAGGTGTCACTTTTCATACGCCCTGAGTTGTATTTACCCGGCCCGCAAATGGCACCGGGCAGTCAACATGATGAACATACCCGTTCTATGCTGTTGGAGGAATTTTTCGAAACCAACACCGAGATACAAGTTGATGGTCCCCTTTACATGAAGGCTGATCCCAAAAAGGGTTGGAAACGTTATCATTTTGTGTTGCGCAGTTCGGGCCTATACTATTTTCCCAAAGAGAAAACCAAAAATGTACGGGATCTAATGTGCCTGACCTTGTTCAATGGCTATAATGTTTATAGGGGTTTGGGGTGGCGCAAGAAATGGAAGGCACCCACCGATTATACTTTTGGCTTTAAGTCGGCAGTCGATTCGAGTTTGGGTAAATCATGTCGCACCTTGAAAATGTTGTGTGCCGAAGATTTGGAGACCATGGAGAAATGGTTGACAGCCATTCGGGTGGCAAAATATGGTAAACAGCTGTGGGATAATCACAAGTCCCTGATGGAGGAATTGACCATGGGTGGTGATGGTATATCGCAGAGTAGTTTTGCTGTGTCGATGCGTAGCGAATCGATTAGCAGCATTTCATCGGCGGTACCATCACAGTGTGGCAGTGTTAGCTCGGCTATTTCGAGTATGTCAGCCTCAAGTGGTGGTCGGGTGTCGAGAGCATCCTCCTCTTCCTCAAGTGGTTGTTTGTCGGATGATAATAATGGTTTTGATTCGGAATTTACCACGGGTACTATAAAACGAAAGCCATCAATGAAACCCAATTTGCCCTTGACCACCATGACCCGACAGCTGAAGGAGGTGGGTGAAAATACCCAGGCTGATAATGAGGATATGAATAATACCTCACCGGAACATAGCGGTACTTTGACTAGGCGTCATAGTCGCCGTAAGTCTCAAGAATCGAATGGTAGTGGCACTTTGAAGAGACGTCCTGCCGGAGCAGCCACAGCGGCCATTATGACCGGTCTGACAAAGAGAGGTTCTGCGGAGAGTATGAATGCAAATAATTCATCGGGTTCCTCAAATTCCACACCCACTCCAACGCCAAGTATTTGTGCAAAGCCATTGGTGGGGGTGAGTTCGGGAGGCTATGGGGGCCAGCAGGATAATAGCCAATTGCCACCACCACCACCTCCCTCGGTGTTGAACAGTGTGGTAGCTGGAGCGGATGCCATGAGTTGTTCGACCTTGTCATTGGATTCATTGCCACCACCACCACCGCCGGCAGCCTTAGATGAAGTTCAGCAGGATGTGTATGGTTCGCAGTTGTCACTGGTGTCATTGCCGCCACCACCACCACCAGAGGAGGTGCCATTGACTCCGACCACACCCACAGCCAGTAATGGGGGTCTGTATTCAATGGTGCCGGGCGGTGGTTCCAAAATACCACCACCTGCCGTGCCAGCCAAGCCCATTAAGCCAGCCGTCAAGGCTGCACCGCCATATAAAAATCCACCAGATTACAAGGGTTCATTGGCCAACAATCAAGCGCTACCACCTCCACCACCCCCAGCAACCACCACGACGACGACAACACAAAAGAAAGTCTCCTTTGCCGATTCGCCCGTATTGCTGCGAAGAAAAATGCATTCTCCCGAACCTCAAGAGCCCTTCTATTCTCCCGGCCCCCTGCCACCACCAAGAAACGATCTCACAAGGCTCTCGAATTGTTCATCAACCATTTCATCGGTATCACAACAAGACTATGGTTCCCCAAAACGCCTACAAGAATCGAATTCGAATCCGCCGCGCGACTTCCTCAAAGATCTGCAAAGGGTAATGCGTAAAAAATGGCAAGTGGCACAAAAGTGTAAATTGGAACCGGCCACAACACCCCATGAGGTATTGGGTTTTCGTGATTTCTCCTCGGAGGAGTTGCTGGCCCATAGCCTTAACTCGAATTCGCATTTCTATCGGGAAACTGCCAATGTTAGTAATTGGGTACAGGAACACTATGGGGCAGGATTGCCATGCGAACCACCACCACCATTGAATGAATATGCCCTCTATGAGAATATACATGCGAATAATAGTAATAATCAAGCGGCGGCGGCGATGGCGGGACAAATGGCACCCACTATGGAAAATCAGCAACAGCAGCAATATGCCCAGCTGCTTATGGGTAGTAGCAGTATGCCAGCACCACCTCCACCATTAGCCACCAGTATGGATATGTCAAAACGTAATAAACGGCCACCGCCTCCACCACCCAAACGAAGTGATTCCACACATCTGACACATCGTGTTTAGTCTTTTCTGGGTACGTGCTTTCGGGCACGGGGTTTTTGGCATAAATGAGCAGCAGCATCGTCATCCTCAGCATCCAAGAAAAATTGGAAATTATGGCCAAGAGAGAAATTCGATTATTTTTTAAAAACTAAAAAAAAATATTTTCTAAACAAGAAATTGAAAACCCTAACCTAAAAAAAATAAATTTTCAAAACAATAAATTTGCAAAACAACAAATTTTAATTTTAAAGTATTTCCAATTAAAAAAATTGAAAAAAAACAAAGAAAGTGCTTTTAAAGATTTATTTTTAATATCTTATATATAAATAAAAAATTATTAATTTTTATTTTTTAAGTTAAAAAAAACAAATCAAAAAATACCGAAATAAATTGCAAAACAAAACAAAACCACATGTGGCATTCAAACCTCCTAGCTACCTACCTATTTACCTGTCGCTTTTTTAAAATATTATTTTAAGTTCCTTTTTATATAATTATTGCGAATTGTGTAAACAAACAACTAACCAATAATACGATTATTTTTAAAATTCGATTTTTTGTAAAATTTATACACCCCTTTCTCCCCTTTAAAAATTATACACATTTTACATTAATTATACAGAGTTGTAATCATAATTAATTAATTATTAAAATTAGAATTATTTTTTAATGAATTTAATTATTATACCCCAACAATTATATATACTATTTTTCGAAATTAGAATATGTTCCATATTTTGAAAAACTAAAAAAAAAAAACAAAAAACCAACAATATGCAATAAAATTTTTATTTTAAAATTAAAAAAAAAAAACAAAAACGCACACACAATTATTTTTTTATATAAAATCTGAATGAATTTTTCAAATTTGAAATTTTGCCAACATAACCTCAAATAATTTAAATTTATTTTGTAAAAGAAATCTACACACTTTGGGTCCTAAAAATATTTTTATTAAAAATTCCAAGCATTGGGGATACTTAAAAAATTAAAATTAAAAATTCGAAATATCCAGGATGTTAAAGCAAAAATATTTTTTTTTTTAATCGAGGGGCTTCAGGGCGCCTTAAAGTATATTATTTAGAAAAATCAAGGTCCTGAGGATGATTTTAAAAAATATATAGAGCTGAGCAGTATAGTTGGACGGGGCCGACCATATGATACCCTACACAACTTCGACGAAAATCTAACTTTCTTTTTGGTTCTATATTCAGAGCTTGGGCAATATTTTGCGATATTTGCACCCCCTAGACCTACTAGATGTCAACAAATATTTCTAATATTCAGTAGACGAGGGCTATACTTGTCCAGATTCTATTTACCGTGGGTTATGTTGTGATGTTGAGCTTTCAATTGTGGCCTGTATATCGACTTGAAATAAAAACACAAAAAATAAAGTTTTTGGTACACTTTGTTCCAATATTATTATCTGATCATCACCGAAAATTATAGGACCATACCTGGATCTTCATAGAAAATTTGAAAGCTATTTTTTTGAAAGCGCTATATTTCCGCCCTCCAGTGTGGTAATGGGTTACTAAGTAATATCTCAGTATGTAAGCTCCTGCACATATTTAAATGTAACTCCCACATCCGAGTACATAAGACAATGTAATCAAACACTCCGCTTGGATATACTATCCGCTTCTCGGCTCTATGTCCTTCAGGGGTAAACATATCCGCTGTAGAATACAAATTTTGTCAAGTTTTACACAAAAGTCAGGGTCCATTTGAATCGCTAAATATTGACCGATCTTTATCAAAACAGCCATGTTTATTTTTTGACCTGATTCCCTTCTCCAGAAAATCAGACAAAAATAAAGTTTTTGGTCCATTTCATCCCCTAAATATTAACCGATCTTTACTTAAATGTGGGTCTATGACCAATATTTCGCGGCGTTACAAACTCTTGACATCATAGTTGTGTAGGGTAATAAAACCCAAGCCTCGAACTTTAGGCATAAACAAATATTATTCCAAATTATCCACGGACTTTGTGCCCTTTGGTAAAATATTTTTTTTTATCGAAAGAATGGAGAAACTCTCTTCTAGTATAAATTTGACAAAAAAAAAAATAATTTTTGAGTTCCATTGAATCGCTTTCCAACGTCTTCAAAGTACTATTATTATATGAAACGAAGTCCACATGGAATACTTTCCTATAAATATTTTACCCCTTTCCAAACAATAGGGGTTTTTTTTTTTGAGGACTCTGGTACTGGTACATCGAATCTCTCATTAAATCACATTTGCAACAAAGCATTTCGTTTTTTTTTTTTTGCCCTTTGAATTCCGGCTACTTTAAAGGACTACAATAACCGCATAACCTTTGCAAATAACCACAGATCCTCACGAATTTTGAATTGTCTAATTTAATTTGTTGATTGGTTAATAGCCTCCACTTGGCCGCTTAGTCCAAAGTTTCTTCAAATTTGGCTTAGGTGCTTTTGTTTATGTTGAGAAATGCGTATTGAAGCAAATCTACTGATGAGTTGAGTTTTTCATACTTTTGAAAGAACATGGATGAAGCTTTATCGGTCTTGGCTCATACTACAACTTCCATTAGGATAATTCAACGATATTGGGATTTGGCACGCACTAATCTGGGACTTTGAGGATACAATTTGTTATCGGAAGCTTTTCTCTAGAAAAAAGTTGTTATCGAATATTGATACAATATTTGGGTTTTTGGAGGATAAAATACTTCTACATGACCCCATAAAAATATACCTACCTCTCTTAGACATTTGGACGGTCCATTTCGATTGCTTAGATGATAGAAAATCTCATAGCAATAGCATTACAATATATGACCTTCTTTTGTCATAGCCTCCATATAATGGTATCTCGATTTATGTTTGGTATTTCGATAGTCTACAGTTTTTTTTTCCATCCTATGATCCATCCTTATAATTAGGTACTTTGAATTCTCAGAAGATAAATAAATCTCCTGGCAAAAATGTAACCAATAAAGGTTTCAGGTCCGCACCATTTTTGATATTTTGAAAGACAAAGCTGAAATATCTTGTCATTTAGAATTATCAGGACAAGACAAATTTCGATATAGGTCAATGTTTGGACATAGCTATTACTCTCGTAAAGGTTCTGCCGCATTTTGAAGATCCTAGACATATTTGGAGTTTCAGTGTATCAGTGAATAAATAAAAATACAAAAAGAAATTTTTCGATGTTGGACCACTTTTTAAAATAGTCTCCACAAATTTCTAACTGACGGTTGTGGTAAATTTTTTCTTATTTTTTTTTTTTCTTTGTAACAATTTTCTCAGTTCCCTTTGTGAATAGAACCCTCCATAGGTTTGAATGCTACTTTCACAACGGTATCCGGTAATTTTTTTTTTTTTTGAAATTTAAATTTTTTATATTGAAAAAAAAAAAATGTTAATTGCTTAATATTGAAAAATAAATTTGTAAATGAATTAAAAATAATATTGGATGTATTTAAAAAAGGCTTGAGAGTAATAAACTATTAAATATTAATTATATAAATAATTAATTTTATAAAAAAATAAAAAAAAATAAATAGTTTATAACAAAAAAAAACAGAAACCATGAAAAAATATTGAAACCCATGGTAAAAAAACCTGCCAATTTAGAAAACAAACTACAGAGAGGAGATTTTTTTCTCTGAAAATAAATAATTAAAAAAAGATAAAACTAAAAATACATTTTCTATTCTTTTTTATTTTGGTATGGTTTAATATATAAGAAATAATAATAATAATTAATAAAATTAAATAAACAAGTAAGGTATTGTTCCATATATAGTTATATAAACAAAAAAACAACAACAAAAGCCATAAAACATTTTATTTGTATAATTTATATTTTATACAATAATAAATAAAATAAAATTATATATTTAATTATAAAACTAAATACATAAAAATAAAATAAAATATAAAAAAAAACATACTAAACATTTAGTGGGCATGCAATGCTTTTTTTTATACATATATATAAAATTAAAAAAAAAATAAATTATAAAAAAAAAATTAATTATAAAAAATAAATTATAAAAAATACATATTAATAATAAAATTAAAAAAAAAATAAATAAATTATAAAAAAAAATTAATTATAAAAAATAAATTATAAAAAATACATATTAATAATAAAACAAATAAATAACTTAAAAAATTTAAAATATTTTATATATAAAAAAAATTAAGCGCAAGTGAAAAAAATAACTAAATTATACAAAATCCTTGTCTTTAAATAAATTAAATAAAATATTGAAAATATACAAAATTAAATTTAAAAAAATAAAACAAAAAATTATTAAAAGATCATTTTTGCTTATGATTTTTTTTTTCAAATTTTATATCAAAAAATCCATATCTGGCAATTTTTCATTTAATTCCGGAAATGCTTCTTCATTTTTTTTTTGAAAAAAAAAAATAGAACAAAATCGCAACCATTATTTTTTATTTACAATTATTATCGATAATGCTTTCACATACAGACAAATTAATATCGATAATTTTTCTATACTAAAAAAATATTCTTATCAATAATTTTTCTATACAGAAAATGGCTCCATAAAAAGTTATTATCAATAATTTCTATACAAAATAAAATTATTGATAATATTTCTATACAAAAAAATATATATCGGTAACTCTGTCTAGGTTATGGTCATCTTTCGTATATATAATTTAGTTTTTTTTTTTTTTTTTTTGCAACAATAACAACAGTGGTGTTCCTACAAATAAAAATAGCTTCAGTTTTTTTTCGAGTTTAAGTTAAAAATAAAAAAGAAATAAAAACAGCAATAGCATTTTTTTTTACATAACAACTCCTAAAAATATGCTATAATTTTGTTTACTATAAAACACAAACCTACGTCAACATATAATTTCCTAAACAAAAATAATTTCAATTTTAAAAATAAAAAAAAATTAAATTTAAAAACAAATTACAACTAAATTCTAAATCTAAATCTAAGTTTTCCAAAACTATATCTCTGTCTCTTTCTACTTATTTTAGGTTATGTAAATTAATTGTATAAAAAAAAGAAATATATATTAGAAATT